ATGTACATTATTATTTTCACATGCACAAATAATTCCACGTAATGTTTCATTAACAAGATCTGTTACTTCTTCAAAATTACCATTATTTTTATATATGATTTGTAGACGCTCCATCACTTATTATGCACATGCAATCACATGATGATTGAAAAATAAATATGTTTATGTATGTATGTATGTATGACTCATATTCTTGCACAATGTTATGAAAGAGAAAAACATGTTTCTTTCTGTTCTGGTGTAGGTAAATATTCTACATACTGAATTTATTTATACACATAGATTAATTGAAAAAGAATTCGTGTATTCTAATAACCACGATCAAAATCAACTCTACCACGCATAGTAAGATTGTTACAAAATCTATTTAGATTGTCACAAAAAAGCTCAACAATAGCATATGCCAGAGATGGTGCAGCACTATGACTAGTAAGAAGAAGTCCTTGTGTACGCCAAAATGGATGATCGGAAGGTAATGGTTCTGTTCGACAGACATCAATTACTGCACCTGCCAATTGTTTCTGTTCCAAACTAGTAATGAGATCAGTATCGACAACTGCACTACCTCGTCCTGCATTGATAAATATAGCTGTTGGTTTCATTCGAGCAAATAACGTTGCATTCCAGATATTTTGAGTTTGCGGTGTATTAGGTAGGAGATTAATTACATAATCCGCAGTTTCTAAAAACCCAGGAAGATCTTCCAATGTTCCGCATTGATGAAATGGACTGATCGAACGAGATGTGTTGGTGATTCCTATCAAATTGACACCAAAAGGTACCAGCATTTGAGCAACACAACAACCAATTTCTCCAGCTCCAACGATCATAATATGTCGTCCTTTAAGAGTACCTGGTTGACGATCATACCATTTACCTTCTTTTTGATAGTCAATCCGTTCTATCAGTTGACGTTCGTGTGCAAGAAAATAGGTCAGTAGATATTCTGCCATTAGTTGACCAAAAACACCAACAGCTCTAGTCAGTATGTAATCATGTGATAAATCATCTGCTATTAAAGGTGTGATACCTGCCCAAGTAGATTGAATCCATTTAGGTTTGACACCGAAGCGAAGAAGTTCTGCTACTAAATGAGGATCTCCTAACCATACGGAACATTTTCTACCTGCATCAATAAGATCTGACGGCTTGTCGCCTGCTATTAATTGTAAACTTGGATTTATTTTCAATAATTCATCAGTATAGAGTGTATAGTCAGATGCAAGAACAAGTATATGCATTATTTACGATAAAATAGCGTTGTTTGTGTTTTGAAATGAAATGTGCGGTGCACATTTTTTCTTCTTTTCTTATATGATAAGAACAAATACAGAACGAATCATTTCTTTTCTTCACTATATATAAAAAAAAATTGTTTACTTTCTCTTGCGTTCTGCTGTTGAGAGTATGAAATGTGAGTATTCATTGCATCTCCTACCCATTTTCACGTCCTCACAAAATACTGATGAAGTTTTTGATATGAGGAGATCAAGAAAAACTTATAAAATAAAAATCTAAATTGAAACTATTGGCTTAGAAAAACAAAGTCTATTCATCATCGCTAGATATTTTGGATTTTTCCGTATGAAAAAAAAACTGATATCCGTCTCTAATTAAATAATTGAATAACAATATGGTGTCAAAATGTCTGCACCATATTTTTTTTGAGCGTGTCCACAGTTGTATACAAACTGAATAATAATATTTATTCAAGAAATATAACATTTCAATGGTTTATACCTTTTTTCATTGATACAATTTGGTTCTACTAAATCGATTGGTAAGTAAATAAGTTTTACAATCTTTGGATAATCGTAATGTTCTGTCATTTGAAACGAAAAATATTCATGATAAAATGTTCATTCTGGTATCTCCATTGAAAAAAACAATGAATGGTATGCAATGAAAGGGTATGGGTGTTTTTTTTGTATGTGGGCATTTCGTTTACATTCTTTCACAGTTGAAAAACGTTTTTGAGAGAGATCAACGATTTATGCATAAGTTTGTCTCGCAAGATCTGTAATAGAAGTATTGTAGTCAATTATATTTTACTAGACCTTTAGAGTGTAGGAATAAAAGGAATTCTGAAAATCGAGAGAAAACATCGACATTATTTTTTGTCCCACTCTTGAACTCGCTTTGTTATTTTTGTTGTTCTGTGCACGAGAATTTAACTTTAAGACTTAGAAACTCGTGTGAATATGAAATCTTCAAATCAACAACAACGAAGTAAGCAAATAGTCCAATAATCTTTGTCTGTTTATTTCTTTCTGCAACTTCATCATCATCATCATCAACAGATAACGACCAAACGATGCAGTGTATGACTTTCCAGACACATACACGCCTGTTGAAGGGTTTTCTTACTCAAACAGTACAAGCATTCGACCGTTTTCTTAAAAAGACAGTGACATTTCATTTCCTATTAGAAGTGCCTGCCATCTAGTGCATTTTTCTATTCGCATGACAAATTGACCATAGAATGGGGAAAAACACGTTTTTGATAGGAATATTATCGATCTATAGTGAGAAAAAAAGTATTACAAAAAATTCTTTTCTTAACAAATGGTTTTCATTGGCACATATCATGTTATTATTGATAAAATAATTCAACGTAACTCAATATTACTAATTTATTTTTATACTTTCACGTTATTTCACAATAATTTTGCAATAAAGAGCAATTACATTTTGTAATATAAATAAGCATCGTTTTTCTAATATATATCAATATCAATTTTACAACAATCATGTCTGACGCAATAGAAACAAGACTAAATGAACCCAAACAAAATTCTATGTATGTCGGTGCTTTACCAAATATATCGATGGAATCTCTTCTTCAATTTAACATACCAAGTGATCGTTATGGTGCATCATCAATTCGATTATTTCTTGGTAAATATCATGCACTTCCATGTATTTTACACTGTACGAGTGGTACTGACAGAAAATTATTACATGTAACAACAATGTTAAATTATCTTCGTGATGAACTCAAACATGATTTAAATACTGATCTGATAACTGGAAATTATAACGTTCAAACAAATCAAATGGATATTAATGCACGTTTTTGTGATTTAAAAAACGGTATAATGCTCGAATTCCATGACATTTATTTGAATTCTGCAGTATTAAATCCAAATCAATTGAAGGCTGATAATTCTGATAATGGTTTTTCAATTCCAACATCAATTACTATTTATTATCTTCCACATCAGATAACATTCGTGCCAGAGTTATGCAAATCTTTTTATAACATGACACTATTAACACCAGAACCAACTATAACATTTACTTTACAAATGGTTTGTCGAAATCAATGTGGATATTATCTCAATAGTATTACTATTAAAAAACCACTTATTACCGATCTCGCACTTTATTATGGAAATGATTTTGTATCGATCCATGAGAAAATTATTAAAAGTTTGAATACAGTAGAAAATAAAGGAATCGTTCTTTTACATGGTATTCCAGGTTCAGGTACGTTCGAAAGAAAATGATTAGCGAAATTTCTGAGAGTTTCTGAATGTGAAATAAAATTTACTTTGTTTTTTTTGTTTTCAATAGGAAAAACTCATTATATTCGATATTTAATTCACGAAATTCAAGGTAAAACATTGATCTATGTTCCACCAGATATGGCAAAAGAGATTTCTTCACCAGACTTTCTTCCATTTCTTATGCAATATCCTGATTCAATTTTAATTATTGAAGACGCAGAAAATATCATTAAAGATCGAAATGAATCTTCTTTTCCATCACAAGCTGTTGCGAATCTTTTGAATTTGTAAATGAATTTCTTTTACAACTGACAGATTTATTAAGTGATAATTGTTTTTCCGTTTAGATCTGATGGTTTATTGGGTGATGCAATGCATCAACAAATTGTTGCTACATTTAATTGTGATTTAACAACAATTGATCCAGCTTTACTACGCAAAGGACGTTTAATTGCCAATTATGAATTCAATAAACTAGATTTAGAAAGTTCAAAAATTCTCTCAGAGAAATTAGGATTTGGAACAAACAACATCACCAAACCGATGACATTGGCAGAAATTTATAATCAAAATGATTAAGTTCTTCTAAATGAACTTCTAGTAGAATGCTATTTTGTGTTTTGTCTCAACGAGAAATATTCATTTAATACATGTTTGCTTTCTATTTATAGTCTAATAAAAATCATATCTAATGAGAATTTGATCATTCACTTATGAAAACTAAAATATGAATATAATAGAGTAGTAGAGAATTCCATGCGCGAAGGGTGGGTGTGGGTGATGTTTTTATCTTACACCTAAACCCGCACCCACCCTCTTTTAAATATCTTTATTAAACTTTTATTTTTTCATCATTCGACTTGATATGTCAGGTGATGTACATGTTAATTAGGACGAAATCGTCGATTTTCTGGAGAAAGGGGTAAAGTTTTGTATTGAAATATTGAATAAAATCATAAAATATTTTTCCACATGAAATTAGGACTTACGAAAGAGAGAGTAGCAGCGATTAATATAAAGGAGATTAATGAAGGAATTTATGCTATATTCGATCTTGATAAAGCAAAAAAACTAAACAAACAACAATTTATTGATGGGTTGGAGCTTCATAAACTCGATCTGGCATACAACAATCGAACTTTCTTTCTCTATTTTTAGAAATAATATATATGAATACTGTATTATAAAAACACTTCAGCTATACTGCTAACTTTGATGCATTTCGTAACACATCAAGGCGAAACCATGAAACATCTTTCATAAAACAATTTTTTATCTTTAGTTATATACAAAATCATTGGATGATTAAAGAGTGCGACATCTCTCTCCTATTATATAAATAATATGACTGAATCGCTTTGTATTTCTTCGTTACGTAGGATGACTAATAAAAACAATCTTCTTCCGTTCTGTTTCTCTTCGACTAAATATAAAAGCACACTCTTAACGTGTAAAACGTGCGCAGTTAAAAAGTTACCAACATTCTAATCAATGGAGAATTTCCCAGTTGAAATTCTGTATCGTATTTTTGATAATATTGATAGTGAAACAATTCTATTGTCAATTCGACCTGTCTGTCGATTATTTCGTGCAGTTGTCAATACTTATAATCGATATATTTACAATTTTGAATCAATTTCAAAATCAAATTTTCATCTTCAATGTCGATTAATTCGTCCTGAAAATGTCACTTCATTAATACTTTCCAATAATGAACAAATTCCCGATCAAATATCTTTATTTATGTCATCAGTACGTCTTCGACAAATGACTCGTCTTCAATCAATAACATTCATTGGTATTAATGAACTTCAATTAAATAATATGTTCAAAAGAATACATCTCAATTTTCTGACTTCATTTACATTACATATTGAAAAATATGATGATAGACGGAAAAAAACTACATTAAATTTTCTTTCATCGATTATGGCACAATCAAACCTTCGAAAAGTTGAGTTAAATATTAGAAATGATCGAATATCTGAGATACCATGGCCTTTATATTGTAGAATTGAACATTTAATCATACATGAAAACATCACTTTTGATAATTTATGCAGAATTCTATCGAGTGCTTCTCAACTTCATAAACTCATTCTAAAACAAGATTTACCCACTATGATTGATCATAGAAAATTAACTTTGACTTTCCCACAAATAACTTCATTAACAATTGAACAATTAGATGTACCAACTGATCGACTTGAGTCATTTCTTATGTTAACACCATCATTGATTTATTTAAAATTAATTGGCAAAGAATGTGTAGCAGATGGAAAACGATGGGAACAATTTATTCAAATAAATCTTCCACATTTGGATAAATTTCAATTTTTTATGGATGTTAAAAAACCAATTGCACAAACTCGTGAAGATCTTCAAATAATTCTTGATTCATTTCGAAGTTCATTTTGGACAAAATATAAAAAATGGTTTATTGCTGGAGTATTCAATATTAATCGACCACATAATATTCAACTCTATACAATACCAATTTGCAAATCTACTTTTAAATATGAATTAGATTCAGAAAAAGTATTTGTTTATACTTCTTTAGATATTTCTCCATCACTAACAGAAAATATCAATGAACTTAATTTATCTTTGAAAATGCAAATACACGATAATA